CTGTTTTGCAAGTTGGTCTAAAGCATCCTCAAGCAATACTTGCGGCGAATCAGCATGTTCATATGTACCAAAATGTCCGCAGGATTCCTCTCCTTCTGTAGCATCAGCCTGGTCACTTTGACAACATGAGGGTTCACCGCACTTTACCTTTTTACCCTCTGTATATAAAGGATCAAAATGTATATCCGTTATATGACCGACTTTAAAGGAAGCGTCAGCATCTGGCTAAAATTACATACATTTATTTACAACAAAATAAACATATTTTTAATTAAAATTAGTAGGTGATACAGATAGAAATGCATCAAGAAAATAATTTCATAACTATATTAAAATAAGGTAGAGTAAGGGTATTTTACGCAACGGGTAATTATACACAGAGTTGGTTCAAATATAACGGTCTTAGCTAGTGTCATGTGCGCACCTCGAAATGTCTGACAAAGCATATCAGTTGGCGGACAGACATATTACTGCACGTGCTTACGACTTTTAGTTGTGATTGAGACTTCTGAGTTTGCAACACGAAGAAAGGAATTGCTGGCTTTTAGATATGCAGGTATTTACTCTTTCGACCCAGATAAATTGAAAAATGAAGATTTTTTGCCTGCTCAACAGTTTCTACCAGTTGCAGAAAATGAAGTAAAAGAACATCTTCTTCTTCTTTTTATTTAGACATGACTGTCTGTTTTTCAATGTGCTTCCAGTAAGTTGTCGTTCCATCGTTTTCGTTGTCTTCCTACTGATCGTTTTCCTTTTGGGGAACCGTCTGTTGCCGTCTTTACTACTCTATTTTTTGTCATTCGGCTTATATGATCGTTCTATTCTACTCTTCTATTTCTTACCCAGTTCTTGATGTTCTCCATCTTGCATCTACGTCGTATATCTGTACTTCAAGCTCTATTCCATAGTGTCTTACCGTCAATTTTTTAAGTGTTATCATCTCTGCTGTTTCTAACATCCTTTTTGACCTCTCTGTGTTAGGTCTTGTTTCTGCCTCATATGTCATTATTTGTATGATGTAAATTATGCCTTTCGTTTCTTTCCCGATCTTTTTATTTCTCCATATTGTTTTATTCAGGCAGCCTACGGCTCTGTTTGCTCTATTCACTTGATCTTGAATTTCAGTTTCGAGCTTTCCGTAGCTAGATAATGTGATGCCTAGATATTTAAACTCCATCACTTATTCTATTATCTAACCTTCCAGCTTCAATTTACATCTTAGTAAACTTGCTGTTGTAACAATGCATGTTGTCTTTTTTGGGGTAATTAACATATTCAATTTTCTGGCGGTTATATATTAAATTGGCGCAGCATATGTTGTAAATCGTCTTCACTTTGGGAGAGTACTATTGCGTCGTCTGCATAGCAGATTATTTTAAGTTGTTTTTCCCCCATTTGGTATCCTTTTTAATTCATACTAGTTCTTACTTTTAGAAGAACATAAAGCATTCAATATCAAGCAACTGCAAAATCAGGTTATTAATTAAATTGAATCATTACTACAGAAGCAGTCTCACAAGTAAATTCTGAAATAGATTCAATTCCTGGAGCACCAGTAATGTTCATTTTTCAAATTTATTATCACTACCAAAAGTCCACATAATCTCGAAAAGAACAAGGACGTGTACAAAGAAACAATCTAAAATCCTGGCATCCACATTGATGAAAAGGCTGACTTGAAGAGGAAAGAGAGAAACGAGATAATGGTAGCTGCTACAAAAAGAAAAAGTGTTCGGCAAAGAGATCAAAAATATACCCATGAAGATTAAATTTCAAGAGAGTGAAACGGAGAAATCGAAATATGACAATAAAGACAGCTGTGATGATGATGAACTAGTGGATGTGGATCCGAGTAGCCCAGAGAACATCTACCTGATTTGTGAATAGCACGAGATAAGTCACCAAATCAACGAAGAAGTATTGGCAGACCAAGAATCAGATCGTGCGATAATTCAAACAATTTATTAGGCTAATACTGAAGAAGAAACAGGCTTTAAAGCCCACATACAAGAAGGAAAAAGAAGAAGAAGAATGCGTATTTACCGTTTGATTCTATGTGTCTTAAATACGTTTGGGATTAACGTTCGTGGGTTAACTATATTAATTTGAATAGATTTAATAACTTAATAAACGACAATAAAGACGGGTTCCCCCCCCCCTTATACCTAAAAATGGTTTGGCCAACTCTAGGAGAAAACAATGATTAAATAAAGTATTTAATTGATTTACTCACTATTAATTTAAAAAGTCCATTTATATAATATTTATGTATTTACGAAGAAGGTTGCGTTTTGATTTACTTATTTATTTAATATTTTATTTTAATATCTGCTCTGCTATATTGTATTCAAAGTGAGATATTATAATTACAAGTATCAAATACTTACAACTTTTTCAGCCGGAGTACCATCGGGAATATCTATGGACCAATTAAACGTGTCGTTGCCTTGGTCGCATCTCAATATGAGACTACATATTTGCTTACTATCAACTTCCTTTTTGTTGTCAAATATATAACTAAGAACATCCTAAAAACAACATCATATATAAATCATTATCACTTTTTATCTGTCTTTAGCGTCTATTTTTATTTACAAACTAAAAAAGATTTCACTATATCCAATATTTTTTCAAATACGTGAATTTAACGCCTGTTAAGAGTAAACGCCCTTATAGACAATTTTCCATTTTTAAGGGACTCAATCAAAGCATTATTTAAAAAAAAAATTGTTCAAAACTACATCTACAATGTTCTATAACAAGTTGCTATACCATATCCTAAGTAACTAAAAAACTCAATTTGTAAACAGGATAATTCCAACCTTAATACAGCAGAAAATACTACTAGGTCTTTTCATGACTCTCAAGTTACCGTTGTTGTCTGGTTAGCTGGATCTCCTGATCTTGAATCCATTCAACATGCATGAGACATAGATAGAGTAGTTTAACTTCCTAGATTAATTAATAATAAATTTGTGTCGACTCACAAGTTAAGTTGAAGTTAAGTTACTTAGAATTCAATTTCTTAAGAACGCGTTAATTACCTTATTTGAAACAGGTTGGGAGAGTAGTGTAATGCATTAACTTAAGAGGAGCGTAGACTCTTCTATATATAATACCTTTATTCACTAAAAATATCGAGAAACGCTTTAAAAGAGAACGCTTAGAATTTCGAACAAGAAGGGATACTGTTACGATTTTAAATGTTGTGGCATATAGAACTGTAAATATTTTATGACTAATTCTTTTTTATTGATTCTCGTAATTTGTAGGTCAAAATCTACCTGAGCTTCGATACTAGTTGTTTACAGAATAATCTAGACCCTAATTTTATGAGTAATCCACGTCTCGAGGTTGAAAAACGAGTCGAGCGCCTTCACCAAAGTACGAGATTATTCCATTATAATGTAGAAGGCCGCCGAAATTTCGCGATAACAACAGTTGTGTATATAAATGAAAGATTTCTTATTTGGCAGTTAGTCATAAGAAGATCGGGAAACGCGGTTAACTTGTAACGAAACGTAACAAATAAATTTGTATTTAATAAGCTATTTAATAAATTAGTAATTAGTTATCGTGAGTTTTAATAAATTAGAATATAGACAATAAATTAGAATAAAGACAAATAAATTAGAACAATATAAATAAACCCAACAGTGGTGCAGAAGTGGAATTGTAGATAAATTTAATTTGATTTTTGAAAAAGACTTTTGAACTTTTGAAAGGTATTGTTCGTCGGGAACATCCGCGTAGTTCAGTAGTGATCGTTGTACGAAAGAACAGTTAAAAAGTACGTGTGTGCCTGACCAAAGATGCTGCTAGTAGAACTTTCAGTGAAACAGTTGCGTGAGCAACTAGAAGAACGCGATGAAGACTGCAGCGGGTCCAAGAAGATCCTCCAAGAACGACTAAAAAATGTTCTTAACAATAATGGAGATGACCCAGAGACATTCCATTTTCAATTAGCAGAAGAAGCAGTTTTAATGAAGATCGAAGAGAGTTCTAAAAAAAAATGATGAAAGATTCAATGAAACGTCTCAAATTATTAAAGAAGTAGCTAGACAAAACGACGAGAAACTCGAAAATGTGTCAAAAAGATTCGACGAGAAATTTGAAAATGTTTCTCAAATGATGGAAGAAACTTCGAAAAAGAATAATGAGAAATTTGAAGAAGTTTCCAAAACATTCGAAAAAGTAGAAGAGAAAATCAAACAGTTAGAGACCATGATAACTAACACGAGAGTGCTACCACCAATTAATACGGTAGCTTTAGATCCGGTAGAGATAAAAGAAGACGAGACAAAATGTAAGTTGGAAACACGGCCGAAATTTGAAGGAAGCGGAGGTTATGTTCATGTCAAAGTCCCAACTTTCAATGGAAAATCGTCATGGAACAACTACATGAAGCAGTTCGAATCAGCTGCAAGAGCGAATGGATGGTCTGAAAAAGAAAAGGCTGTAAACCTAACTATCGCTCTTCGAGGAGATGCCCTAGATGTGCTCCAGACCATAGCCGTAGAGGAGACGGATGATTTCGAACAACTGAAGAAGAGGTTAAATATGCGATATGGCCACGAACACTTGGAGCATGTATATCAGTCGCAGCTCAAAAATCGAAGACAAAAGAAAGATGAGGCTCTTCAAGAATATGAAGAAGATATCGCCAGATTAGTGCGATATGCTTATCCAACAGCTTCAGAAGACATGATGGAAAAGTTGGCCATTCAAACGTTTATTGATGGTCTTCGTGATCATGAGATGCAAAGAACACTACGATTAGCTCGTCACAAGACGCTGGTTGATGTCTTATCCGCCGCCCTCGAATACGAGTCAGCTACGCAGGCCTCTGGCGGTTACAGTAAAGTTAGGACTGTAAAAGAGGAAGAAGATGAAGATAAACTTGACCAGCTCGTTAATATGATGAAAAGCATGACATACAAGAAAACGAAGACCATAAGATGCTGGAATTGTGGCGAAATAGGACACGTACGAAGTTCATGTAAGCATCCTACGTACGACACAAATCAAGAAACTCACCATCAGGAAAACTAGAACGGGTCGGCCTTAGGGGGCAGCTTCGACCCAGAACTTTTCCAAAGACCCTCTCATACTGATAGCTTCTTTGAAATGTCGTGAAGATAGTGTATATGTAGATGGAGAAATAAATGGTAAAAAGCATACGTTGTTGGTGGATACTGGAGCGACCAGAACCATTATACGCCCGACAGTTATAAACAGCCGAAAGAAACTGTTACCAACGAGGTTGCGACTTCGGATCGCCACAGGTGAAAATGCCAACATTCATGGAGAAATCCAGGTACAATTAGGAATTGGAGCAGAAAAGTTCGTCCATACTGTTATAGTTGCTGACATCGAAGAGGATGTTATATTAGGAATGGACGTAATGAATACGCATGGATTCCAATTGGATTTTAAGAATAAGGTCATCAAAGTTGGTAACGAGGAGGTATTTCTCCATCCACATGATGACAACACTATGCAAGCAGCCGTTAAAGAAGATACAGTCGTGCCTGCGAGAAGTGAAACGATAATAGTAGCGCGGCTACAGGGAATTGTGGACGAAGGAACACCTGTTATGATGGAGCCTCGGAATCATGACGACGAAGTTGGCCGTGGAATCATAATTGGAAAAGAATTAGTGACTTCGGCTAAAGAAATTCCTGTGAGACTTATTAATGTCAATGACTACCCAGTGACCATCAAGAAAGAGACAAAAGTAGGAACTTGTGTACCTGTCACATCCATAATCCGTCAGACGACAACGTCTGATAATTCCAACGATAAATTTGATCAAATGGTTGCAGTTGCTGGACAGTCTCTGAATCAGATTGAGAAAAGGAAATTAAGGGAAATTTCTTCGGCAGTATCGTGATATTTTCGTACCGAAAGGAGGAAAGACGGGAAGAACTACCGTTGTTAAGCATAAAATTGATACTGGTAATGCTAAGCCAATTCGTCAAACAGCTCGACGATTACCACAGGCGAAAAGAGAGGAAGCTGAAACGATTGTTCAGGAAATGAAGAAAGACGGGGTGATAGAACCTTCTACGAGCCCATGGGTCTCTCCGGTGGTCCTGGTTAAGAAGAAAGACGGAACAACGAGGTTCTGTGTGGATTACCGTTTGCTGAACAACGTTACCAAGAAAGATAGTTATCCTCTGCCTCGGATCGATGACACATTGGACACATTGGCTGGAAGTAAATTATTTTCTACTTTGGACTTGAAGTCTGGATACTGGCAGGTAGAAATGGACCCGGTAGATAAAGAAAAGACAGCCTTCACCACAGGATCTGGATTCTGGCAATTCAACGTTATGCCATTTGGACTTTGTAACGCTCCTGCGACATTTGAGAGGCTTATGGAAAATGTGTTGAGAGGGTTATCTTGGAAAACATGCCTAGTTTATCTAGACGACATAATCGTCTTGGGGGAGACATTTGAAGACCATCTGAAGAATTTAGAAAACGTTTTTTAATCGACTTAAAGCTGCCCAATTGATGTTAAACCCCAAGAAGTACCAGCTATTTCAAGGTAAAGTCAATTATCTGGGTCATATAGTCAGTAAAGAAGGAGTGGCCGTGGATAAGGGAAAAATCGATTCCATTAAGGAATGGCCAAAACCAACTGACAAACATCAAGTGAGAAGTTTTCTGGGACTGTGTACTTACTACCGGAGGTTTATTAAGAAGTTTGCAGATATCGCTAAACCATTAACGCGACTTACAGAGGAAGCAAGAGAATACCGCTGGGATGTAGACTGACTAGATGTAGGAGAGTTCATCTTAGATACAGATGCAAGTAATGTGGGAATTGGAGGAGTGCTGTCTCAGATTCAAGGAGGACAGGAAAGAGTCCTTGGATATTTTAGTAAAGTTCTCTCAAAACCTGAGCGAAATTATTGCGTCACGAGAAGAGAACTTCTGGCAGTAGTGAAATCAGTAGAGCACTTCTATCAATACCTCTATGGAAGGAAGTTTTTAATCCGAACCGACCATGCCGCCCTTAAGTGGTTGATGCAGTTTAAGAATCCAGAGGGTCAGATAGCCAGGTGGATCGAACGACTCCAAGAATATGATTTTAAGATTGAGCACCGGGCCGGAGTTAGCCACCGAAACGCCGACTCTCTTTCCAGAAGGCCATACCCAGCAGAGTGTTTTCACTGCAACAAAACGGAATCCAAGGAAGCAGCAGTGCTAAGAACGACGGTGGTCCACGACGACTGGACGCCTACCAAGATCAGGGAAGAACAAGAGAGAGATCCAGTTATACAGAAAATCCGAAAATGGAAAGAGGAAAACCGTCGACCACCTTGGCAAGAAATATCGAACCTAGGCTCAATAGTTAAGACGTATTGGGCCCAGTGGGACTCATTTATCATGGAAGATGGCTTGCTCAAACGAGTCCTGGAAAATGATGACGGTTCAGAGAAGAGAAGACAGTTGGTGATTCCAAAGAGCAGAATAGCCAAAGTACTTCGTCAGTTACACGACAGTCCATCAGGAGGGC